GGCGCTCCTGCAGAGGGTTCGGAACCCATATGGAGAACGGTCCGCTCTCTGGTTGAGCGCGGTGCGGGCGCAACACTGAGGGTTGCGATCCCGTTGCTGGTCGAGGTGTGGGCGCGACACCGAGGGTTGCAATCCCGTTACCGGTCACGAAAAAAGACAAAAAGGAAAAACAAACAAACAAACAAACAAACAAAAAAACCCCAAGTATTTCAAAGGAAGATCTATAATAATAATAATACAATTTGGAAAAGTTATTATACCTACCAAAATCAATTATTCTGTATTATAAAATATTAATATTTCTCAAATTCTTTTGCTTTTCAAATCAACTGAGGTATAATTAGTATACAATAAAATGTACCCATTGAAATGTACATTTTGTTCAGTTTTGACAAATGTATATACCTAGGTAATCAACACTAAAATCAAGATGTAGGACATTTCCAACACTCCAGGTAGTGTAAGAGAGTTTCCCTGTGCTCCTGTCAGCTCCTGCCACCCCTGGCTCCAGGTAACCACTGATGTTGCTTCGTCATTATAGATAAGTTCTATTTTGTAATTTATGAAAATGTAATAACACAGTATGTACACTCTTGTGTTTGACCTCTTTTGCTCAGCATAATGTCTGTGACACTCGTTTCTGTTGTGTGTATTGACAGCCTATTTCTTTTAATTGCAGAGTGGTACTCTATTACATGGATATAGCACTATTTACCACTTACCTGTTGATGAAAATTTAATTGTAAATAAAGCTACTATGACATATTTGTGTACAAATCTTTATGGAGACATGCGTTTTTATTTCTCTTGATTAAATATCTGAGGGGGATTACTGGGTTGTATGGTTAACTTTATAAGAAACGTCCAAATTGTTTTCCAAAGTAGTTGTACCATCAGACGTTCCTAGCAGCAAGGATGAGGAGGTCCAGTTCTGCATCCTTGTTGATATGTGGTATTGTCAGTTTATTAAATTTTAGCAGTTCTAGTGGGTGTGTCGTAGTATTCCACTGTTGTTTTAATTTGCATTTCTCTGATAATTAGCGGTGCTAAGCATCTTTTCATGTGCTTATTGTCCACTCATACCTCTTTTTTGGTGTAGTGTCTGTCCAAATCTTCCACCCACCTTTTATTGTGTCATCTTACCACTGAGGTGTAAAAGTTTTATATATTCTGGATGCAAACTCAGATATTTGAATGACGGGTATTCTCTCCAAGTCTGTGGCTCACCTTTTCATTTTATTGGTGTTTTTCAAAAAGTAGAAGTTTTAAATTTTGATGAAGTTCAATTTATCAATTTTAAAATTTTCTGATCTGTGCTTTCTTTTACCCTAAGAGGTCCTTGCCTATCCCAAGATCATGAAGATTTTTCCTTATCTTTTCTTCTACAAGTGTTATAGTTGTGGCTCTTGCATTTAGGTCTGTTTTTACATATGGTGTAAAATAAGGTAAAGGTTCTTTTTCTTTCTCACATGGATATCCAATTATTCCCACACCTTTTGTTAAAAAAAAAAAAAATGTTCTCCCCACTGAACTATCTTAGTACCTTTGTCAAAAATCATTTAGTGATACACATATGAATCCCTTTCTGGACTCTGCAGTTCCACTGATCTATTAACATCTACCTTTACACCAATACCACAAAGTCTCAATTACTATAGCTTTATAAGAAGTCATGAAATTAGGTAGTGTAGGTCCTCTAGCTTTTTAAAAAAATTTTTGTCTATTCTAGTTCTTTTGCTTTTCATATAAACTTAGCATCAGCCTATCAATTTCCACAAGAAAAGCCTACTGGGATTTTACTTGTTATTGCACTGGAAAGAACTGTCACATCTTAATAATAGGGTGGCTTCCCATCATGGTATCTCCATTTAAGTCTTTTTAAATTTCTCTCAGAAATGATTTTCTAGTTTTTAGTGCACAGACCTTGCACATATTTTGCAAGCCTATTCCTAACTACTTCATATTTTTTGATCCTGCTGTAAGTGGCATTATTTTAATTCCAATGTCCAATTCCATGTCCTGCCTACATTGCAAAGGATTTTCATCCCAGTAGTTTCATAAAGGAAACAGTAGGAGGCTGCTTACTGTTAGTATATGGAAATACAACTGTTTCTGTATACTGACTTTGTATCTTGTGACCTTGCTAAACTCACTAATAGTTTTAGTAGCCCTTTTGTATACTCCTCATAATTTTCTACCTCAGTAACAGTATGCACATATAGTGCCCAGATAATGGTTCTAAATATCATTTTTCATAAAAGAAACCAGGGTCCTTTGGAGAAATGGCTGATGCCAAGGCTGAGGCTAGAAAAATACCAGATAAGCCCAGAACATCTTACTACTGTGTCAAAAGGGAAGAAAGTTCTCAAAGAAAGATGGGAGATGTCAAATGGACACAGGAACCAGTTATAAAGAGAAGCCCACTTGCCACTTCTCTCTCTATGGAGGCAAAAGAAAGTTCTTCCTTATTACAGAATGCTAATAAACTTAGGAGAAATATGGAATTGGAAAGTCACAGTTGGGAAAACACCATAGTAATAACTGTTAATTAGAGATGCTGACTTCTGGTCAAGATGGTGCAATAGACAGTCCCCAGCGACTCTCTCTCCCACAAATCAACTAATTTACAACTATTAAAAAGCAACAACAGCCAAGCTGGAGCCACTAGAACTCAGGAGAAGAGAAGGAGAGACCTATGGAGTGCATGAAGGCCAAAGAAGCCACAATGAGAGAAAGAAAAAACCTCTCCAACCATTTCAAGCCCTGGCTGCTTCTAGGCTGGAGCTGCTGAGCACACAGAGCAGGAGCAGGAGCCAGCAAAAGCCAGAGCTATACCCTTCTGATGAAGTTGCATGGAGGCAGCAGGGGAGAAGAGGGCCTTGGTGGCCCCCAAGCCAGCAAGACCTCTAATAGGGTTCCTGTGGACCCACATAGGAGCAAGGAGCTAAAACAACTGAAAAAAGGAGCCACTCAGAGGCTGGTGAGTCATTGCAAATATAGCCCATCCCATGGGAAGTGTTTGCAGCACGGGTGGTAGGGGATATGGGCCCACCAGGAGAACACTGGGACACAGCAAGGACAGCTGATCTGCTCCGCAATCAGCATAGGGTCACTCAGAGGAGACTGGTCAGAAATATAGAATTACATTGGGTACAGTTTGATGAAAAGACCCAGGCCCAGACCAGTGTTTCTACACAACCCAGGTGCATTGGATTTCACTAAACCCAGAAGTCCTATAAAGTCAACCATTAAAACTTGAGCTGCATGGGCTGGCCCGGTGGCGCACTGCTACAGTGTGCCGCTTGAGAGTGTGGCGGCGCTCCCGCCGAGGGTTCGGATCCCACATACAGACTGGTTCCCGCTCACTGGCTGAGCGAGGGGCGGGGGCAGCACCGAGGGTTGCGATCCTGTTGCTGGTCCCGGTCTGGTACGGGCGCGACACTGAGGGTTGCGGTCCGTTGCCGGACATGAAAAAAGACAAAAAGGAAAAAAAAAAAACAAAAAACTTGAGCTGCATAAAAAGCCTTCCCCAGGGAATCAACAGCAAAGCAGCAATTTAGCTTAACCACAGAGCTCAAGTACTGGTCCCCACAGGAAGTTACCCCACTTTAGAAGTAAGCAAAGGACAACAAATTAGTTCCGGTGGAGAGTTTAAGTGGTGGGAACAGCAAATAATACAACACAGAACTGAAAAAAAAAACAGTACCCACAACCAGAGACAAAGTTTGATATTAACTAGAAAAAGTCTCATTTCACCAAAGAACACCTATAACACCTAGAAGGACTGGAAGTCCCCTGGGCTACCAAGCCAGAAAGGGGGGACAACCAGGCACACCACCAGCACCACAGGGCCTGCCTGAGGTCCTGAGGCATGGATCTGGGGACTGGACCCCCTCCAACAACCAGGCACACCACTGTTGCCACCACCAACTAGGTAAGGAGCATGCCCAAAACATCACATCCATGTGGGTGGCCCACCACAGCCACCACAATAACCACAGCTGCTGCGAAAGCTGCTAAACACCACAACCACCATGCAGATGGTTTGCCAGCCATTGGAGGGTACTGACACAAGGAAAGTCACCAGCAGGGACCAAAGAAAAGAAGAGGATGTCTCTCTCCACAAAGCTCATTCCAGACTGACAGAAGAAGTATCTGCTCTATGATAATATTGGGGGACCTGAACACACCTTTCAGCATTGGACAGATCATCTAAGCAACAAATCAACAGAGTAACCACTACTCTTTCAGAAGGAGAGAAGAAATCTAGGGTAATTAGACGGGGCAGGGGGAAGGAAGAGGGGGATAGGAAAAGATTGGACAAGGGATATAAAGAATAAGTACGATTTATAACAATATATATGTTGATCAAATCAATATTACTAGCATATGTCAACACTGAACCCCCAAAATATATATAATCAATTATGATTCAATAAAAATTAAAAAAGGAAGGAAGGAAGGAAGGAAGGAAGGAAGGAAGGAAGGAAGGAAGGAAGGAAAAGAAACACTCCCAGATAACATTTGGTAAGGACGTGGGAAGGGCATGATCTTCAAAGTGGTGACCCTGAGACTGACTTCTGATCAAGATGGCAGAACAGACGGTCCTCGGTGTCACTCTTTCCCACAATCAACCAATTTACCACTATTAAAAAGCAATGAACTGCCAAGCTGGATTGCTAGAGCTCAGGGGAAGAGGAACAGAGACCTATGGAACTCATGAAGGCAGAAGTAACAATGAGAGAAAAAAAGGATGTTTTAAGCCCTGGCCATTTCAAGGCTGGCCCTGGTGAGCACACGGAGCAAGAGCTGGCAAAAGCTGCAGGTGCGCCCTTTGTATGAAGTTGCAAGACCACTAACAGGATCCCATGGACCCACACAGGAACAAGGGGCCACAGACAACTGAACAAAAGAGCCACTCAGAGGCTGGTGAGTCACTGCAAGGGACCAGCACATGGCCCATCCCATGGGAAGTTTTTGGAGCATGGGCAGTGGGGGAGACAGGCCCACTGAGGGAACACTGGGGCATAGCATGGACAGCTGATCTGCCCTCCACACACAGGCACACTCAATGGAGACTGGTCAGGAATACAGAACTGCAGGGGGTGCAGTTTGCTGAAAAGACACAGGCCCTGACCAGAATATCCACACAACCCAGGTGTAACGGACCTTATAAGACCTGGAAGTGCTAACAAGGTAAACCATTAAAACCTGAGCTGCACAAAAAGCCTTCCCCAGAGAATCAGCAGCAAAGCAGCAATTAGCTCAACCACAAGGCTCAAATGCTAGTTCTCACAGAAGTTCCCCCATTTTATAGGTAAAGGACAAAAAATTAGTTACAGTGCAGAGTTTAAGTGGTGGGAACAGTAAATAATCCAACACAGAACTGAAAGAAAAACAAAAAATCCACAGATTGGAGACAAAATTCTGATATTAACCAGTAAAAGTATAACACCATCAAAGAACACCCCAAAAATCTAGAAGGACCAGAAGCCTCCATGGGGGGAAGGCTGAGGGCCTCAGCCACACCCCGCTGACGTCCACATCCAGCCCAGTGACGACCACCAGGCCCCTGCTGGAAGCGCCCCAGCCCCTGAGCCAGGGCAGTGGGGGGGTGAGGGCCTTAGCCATTACCCCCTGAAGTCCACATCTAGCCAAGCAACAACCGAGCTGCTGCTGGAAGCCCCCTGGGCTCCCCTGCTGGAATGACAGGGGTGGCAAGGGCCTCAACAACACCCCCTCTTCCTCCCACTGTATCCTCCTCCTCCTTTCCCGCTCCCCCTCCTCCCAACTGCTCTGCAACCACACCTTAGAATGTAAAATAATAATAATAAATTAATTAATTTTTTTTTTAAAAAGAGATGCTAAAACTAGTGAGTGAAAATTTGAAGAGAAAGAGGATATTTAAAAACACTCAAGGTACTTCTCCTCCACAAGGTACTTACTAATTACGAAGGAAAAAACAATAACTTGATAGTGGGGAAATGTGGCAGATACATTTTAACCAACAGATTACAGTTCATATCATTAGCAGTAGGCTATCATGTGCCTCTTAATCTGAGACACTGATAAGAAACCAACACTTCCACGCTATTCCTTTCAAAAATGCATAACCTGAATGTAACAAGGAAATATCAGACAAGTCTAAATTGAGGGGCATTTTACAAAATATAAATGGCCTGAATGTTTCAAAAATGTCAGTCATGAAAGTCAAGGAAAAACTGAATTCAATTGGTGGGAGAGTAAGAGGCTTAAAATAGTGGCAGTTTACAGTATTCTTCACACACTTTATTTCAAGGTATAAGTTACTATATTAATTTAAAAATTAGTTAACTGAGACTTAGAATAAGAACCCAGGTCTTCTGTCTCCCAAGTCCAGCACCTGTCACTGATAATGGTACTATCTACACACACCCATATCAAGTTACTCACTGAATAAACAGGTGAGAAAATGGGCAAGATATCTAGGACTAGGGGAAAAGGCAAACTGTCACTGAAATAAAGGCACAATTTATGTGGCTCAACCTTAAATTTTAGATCACCCATCCACTTAATGGCCTTGGTTAAAAACCTGACTAACAGCATCTGTACATTTTCACTTGTTCTGGTTCTGCTCAAAGGGACAGTTCTCTAAAAGCCACTGCAAGAAATCCATTCCAGGAGCTTTGCTGCATTCAAGGAATGACAGCAGCACAATTCACTCAAGTTGAGAGAGTTAAGCCATAAACACCGGAAGTCTGTGGCTTCCCAGTTTGATTCATTTGACTACAAGCAGTACCTATTATGTACTAATCTTGCCAATTGTTGTTCTTACCATCTAAGTCACTTTCAAAAGTTTCAGCAGACAGCCAGTCAGTTGCTGGGCCTGTACCATTGATCGTTAGAGCAGCCACTCGGAAATTATATTCAGTCCCCCGATCAAGACCTAAGACCCAAATGACAAAAAAAGACAAGCTGAAATAAAAGCTTCAGAAAAACAAGATTAATAATCTCTCATTAAAGCAAATATCTCATCCACCAACTCAGTACATAGCTTGATAAAGTTTCAGTTAAAGTTAATTCAGAACAAGCAAAACATAAATACGGAAGAGTAGCTCCCATTTCTAAACTAAAGGCTAAAGCCCATACAATCCAAGAGGAAAACAGAAATGACTAATGCTCCCAGGAGATTACAGATTTTATTTAAGAGTTTCAAGGGACCTTAGAGATCATTTAATGCAATCCCTTCAATTTGTTACAAATAAAGCTAAAGCCAAAAGAGGCTAAGGATAATAAAAGAATTATAACAAAGGAACAAAGTCAGTTGGTCTCAAAAGACACTAAAACCCAGAAAAGAATTTAAAGATGTAACTATTAGGTTACTTCTGTTCTCTGAGCTACCCCATAACCACAGCAGAAAAATTCTAAACACCAAATATGGCCTAGAAATCTATTTCTCAACAACCAATTGCCCATACATATATATAGTAAGTGAAAGAGGAAAACAACCCAAACCTTTCTATTATGCAACTTTTTTATTTACTACCAGCTAACACAGTACATGATTTACCAATGTATCAAAGGCAAGAGAATTCACATATAAAGGTCTACCCTACAAAGCAGGGAGAGTTAATATTGTCAGTTATTCAGATATTCATACAGACATTTTTTTTTTTTTCTTCCTTTTTGTCTTTTTTTTTCGTGACCGGTAACGGGATCGCAACCCTTGGTGTCGCGCCCACACCGCGCTCAACCAGTGAGTGGACTGGTCTCTACATGGGACCCGAACCCTCGGCGGGAGCGCCGCCCTCTACCGAGTGCGCCACCGGGCCGGCCCATGCAGACATTTTTAGAGCACTTAAATACCAGATACTATGGTAGGTCTTGCAAGGTTTATGAAAATTATCCTAACTCTCCATATCCAAATATTGGGATCTTTGGTGAGCAGCCTAGTACAGAAACTCCAACCAAAGAGATAGATATTAAGAATGTGAATAACTTGGTCAGGACACAATACAAGCCCTGGCTCAGTTAACCAATTCTGTCCCATGGTGTAGGAGGAGAGATGGTAGCTTCTATTCTTCCCAGGCCCATCCTGAATCTGTTTGCCCACAAGAAAGCAAGGAGCAAGACCAAAGGAGGAGCAGAATGGCTGGGCCCAAGTCAGTTTCCATCCCAGTCTCGTCTCTGCACACACTGAACCAGAAAGCGCCGGAGTGGGCTGCACACATGTTTGTAACTGTAAACAGACAACAAACCTGGACTACTAGCAAACGTGGCTCAACTAAGATTCCTGAAAGAATCCAACCAATCAGATTATCATTCCCTGCCCTTTGGGGGGAGTTAGAACACACGAGAGGGAACAAGCAAGAGAGAGGTATGTGTAAAGAGGCTAAGAGTTCTTTTCCTTCTAAGTAGACTACAAGTTTACATACTAAAACTCAGGCACACGATACGTAGTATAAAGATATGGCAAAATATGTTAAGTGCAATAACAGCAATTTCTTCTGGCTAAAACTTAATCATATAATTTACTGTTCAGCTCAGGATCTCGATAGTATCTCCAATTCTTGTAGTTCTCTCCTACCTACTCTGCTTTTGGGTTTCCTAGCAAAAATCATCTGAGACAGAGCTTTTGTCCTGAGATTAAATTTGCCCTGCTGAGGCAGAGCAAAATAGGGACATGCCCCAGGGAAGCTGCTCATAAATATTCAGTCTGGACTGGCCAGCACAGACACATTAGGCAGAACAGGAAGGGCAGAGGATGGCCATCAGGAGCAGGGACCTAGGACAGAATGGGAGAAGGCTGGGGGTTCATGCGTTGCTCTCTGACAGAGATGCCTGAGCACTTCTATGGCGCCCACCTTTGCTTGGTAATAGAGCCTTATTATGTTCGGTTTTTCTGTCCCTCTCTTCTTTCCTTTTGCTGGTCCTATGAAAGATTTTTCTTTCATGGACCAAGAACCTGGATCTGCTGCCCAGTAACACTGCTACTGCACTGTTAGAGCTACAGAAAATTCACCCCTGCTGGGTGTAAATGTAAATATACTCAAATTCATCTGTTTGTTTGCAAAACACAGATGGGCTCTGTTGAGTGACAAACCAAAGCCATTGCAGCTGAGGCAGTATACTGACCAGCACAGCACATGTGAGTTTACTCCTAGGACAGAGGTAAGTGCTGAAGCTGAAGCACACGTAGCTTAGGGGGACAGAGTCTAGGCACTGCTAAACAATAAAGGAGTGGGCAGGATGAGTTCTGCTCATACCACAGTCAACTCTACAGCCATATTAAGCATCTATGAAAATCCCTATAGAATAAGTATAGTTTAGGGACATCTGTCTTTACTCTTCGTAAGCATAGTCCCAACATCTACAGGGCAAAATGCACTTAATCTGTCTCCCAAGCTCCCCCTGCAAAGGAACCTTACACTTGCTCAGCCAACTCTACCTCCTCTACTTAAGGAAGAAAGAGATCAATACTCTGTGGTCTATAGGATGAACCTGTATTAGATATGTATTTGGGTCCATTTTTACCAAGTATGCCACTTGTTCTATCGTACGTAAAGGGAAAACTATACAAAAGGAGCTATTCCTGATAGAATTTTCTAAAATTTTATAGTGTCCACAGTAGCAAGCATGATTACTGCATTGCTGCAGCTATTCACAAATACTGTTTCAAGGTGAGACATACACGAGTGGTGTCTGTGTTATAAAAGTCATTTTGTAGACCTGTTATCAACTAAATTGAGTGGAGTAATTTCTTTGCTTATATAGCTTTGTTTCACCTTATTTCAGATTACCAGAAAGCAATATATACATTCAAAAAAGAAAATGTGGAGAACACAGAAAAACGCAAGGAAGGAAATAAAAATCAAATACTACTTCACCACTCAGAGATGGCAAAACCATTAATATAATAGTGTTTTCCATTAATTTGTATCAAGTCAGATGTAGACTGAACTATTAAAATTTTTTTGAACCATTTAAAATTTGTTTGTATAAGTCAACAGCACATAACAGTCATTAGACTAGCATAATTCAATGACTGAGAAAGACACCATTTCCTAGCTTTTCTCTATGTGCAAAGCAGTTTACCTTCAATCAGCTGAGATAGCTGTGTCCCGGTTACCAAGATCTCAGTGACATCACTCTTTCGGGAGGCCTTTCGATAGCGAATCTTGTAGCCAGTAATCTGCCCATTTTGTGTAGCTGGAGGAGGTGGCTGCCAGTGAATCATAATACTCTGGGAAAAACAAGATTATAGGGAAAAGGAATAAATATATCAAAAGCTTGGTCCTAACTGTTTTATGTATTATTACCCTGATCTCACTGTGTAAAGAGAAGAAAAACAGGCAGCAGGATGCTCAGAGATTACAAAGTTAATAATAATCATTCAAAAATATTTTTAATTTTAAAACCCTCAGTGATCAAATGGGAAGATTATATATTTGAGCAGTACACTCTGGACCCTTGATCTCCTGGGTACTTTGCCAGAATGAAGATGTTGGGCAGAAGTTTCAGAAAAGGTTTCAGAAGGAACATATAAGAAGGTCAGAGGCACACGTATAAGGAAGTAAACTACTGTTAGGTATAAAGATTCTTTCCCATATCCAGTGTGCAACAGCTGAAATTAAACAATTTCTATCTAAAACTCTTCCAAAAGGGGATCATTAATTAACAGCTAGCTGTTTCTTAAAGAAGAAAAGGAGTCCTATAGTATTTCTTGAAAGAGTTGAATATATCAGTTGTCTATGTAGCTCAGAAGGAGCTCTGGGCCTCTGAGAGACACACGTGGTCCTAAGTGTACAGTGAACTTGACAAGGAGGGTGAGTTTGAGCAGATACAACCAATCTGACAGATGACTGCCTTTGACTCACATTAGGCTCATCTCACAGTACTAAGGGACCATGATTCATAAACTTATTTCTTTCTGCTATACCACCAAGGTTCTAGAGGTTAAGATCTGGAATGTCATGATTTACATAAAAATAGTAATTTATTTAGAGTTTTGGCATCAGAGAAAGGAAGTAAAGTTAAACAGAATTAATGTGTTTATTTCTAAGCTCAGCTTTACTGGCAAGCATTGTAATATCTATGTCGTCTTATTTGTCTGCTTGATTATGATTGTTTTCAGTTCAAATTTATATGGTTTAGTATTTTTAAAAGCAAATAGTTATTACAATATTGGCTTTCATTTATTTTGATGCTTTCCCGCAGAATCTCCCTCCCTATAAACCCCTCTGAGGCTCAAAAGTATACCAGTAAAAATGAACAGTGGCATTATAAAGTTTTACCTTTGAATTTCTCACTTCTAAGGACAGATTCTGGGGAGCAGCACTTGGAACTAGACAGGAAAAACAAATAAATTTTTTTTTAATCACCCACACATCACCCATCACGTGATAGTTCTTGGCTGGACTTTACACAAATGCACATCTCAAACCTGATCAGGCAATCAGGTCTAAATCCAGCTGCGAATGCCTTCATGTTGACAGTACTATGTGGAAGAGGTATGGTCATGTTTGATTCATTTTTTGTAACAAGACACTTTCATATGGGACCTTAGTCAGGTAGAACCTTTGGGAAATCAGATATTCATTTCAAGAATGTACAGTGACTCTGAACTCTTCTAGACTCTAAACTCTTCTAGACCTTAGATATATTCTGAACCTTAAATGTATTCTTTTGAACATTCTTGGCAACAACATGTCTGGGGGAAGAGCCACATGTTTTCTGGAAGCAAGTCTAATGAATATAACAAGTTACTGAACTGGGTAATGACATTATGGATCAAAATGAGTTGTACATAAATCAGTGAGCTTGGCTTTCTTGTGGGATTCCTAAACTGGTTTTGAAGGCAGTTCCCAAGTATAGCAAAGAGATTTTTAAGCAACGCGAGCTTCAGTAAAGTGAACCATCTGGCTTTCTAAGGCAACTCAGTGAGCTTGGCTTTCTTGTGGGATTCCTAAACTGGTTTTGAAGGCAGTTCCCAAGTATAGCGAAGAGATTTTTAAGCAACGCGAGCTTCAGTAAAGTGAACCATCTGGCTTTCTAAGGCAACTCTGTATCAGGAAACACTCACTCAGACGTGAGGAGTTTGGAACTGTTGGTTAAACAAACAGTTGCATAACTTTAGTTTCTCACATAGTAGAACATAATACAGTGGTACCTCAAAGTTTACGGCCCACACACCCTCCAGCATCCCCCTGTGTAGTGATGATAGCAAGCAAAGAAAACTTAAGTAGACCTTAATGAGGTATACTTCTCTCCATTCATAAAACGCTATCTCTAGCCCTTCTCTTCTAATCCACCCATGGAAACTTCTCTCTTCTCTTTGCTAACATTTGGTGAACCCGGTATGACTAAGTACCCACTGTACTAAAGCTTCTGGGAAGAACAGAATGTGTCTTGCTCATTGTTCTAACTTGCGCCTCACAAAGTGCCTCAGGCCTCATCCCAGAGATTCAGGTGCAGAGGGTCTGGAGTAGAACCTAAGCACCTGTGTTTTGAAAAAAGCACATGAATGATTCCAATTATCTCCATATTAAGAACTGACTTAGTTGCAGAGACACGCAACACAGTTGTCACTGCTGTATTCATCATCATCCTCCTAGCTAAGATTTGCTCCACGCTCACTACATGGCAGTTACTTAATCCTTACAACATCTCACAAAGGAGTGTCTATCATTATTTTAATTTTATAGATAAGAAAGCTATAGATGAGGTTCAGAGCAGTTAACCTGCCCAAAGTATTTGTTTCAGCTGGCATAAGAACCAAGCTCTGCCTTAGTCCAAAGTGCTGCCCTTACCAACATGCTAAGACATTCAGTTCCCATAGGTACTGTGATCAATAGGCCAACCCACTTAGTGAAGTTAAAATTTGGCTCATGTGTAGATTTAAAAGCCTACATTAAGCATTTTTCCCTCAACTTTTCTCCCAAATTTTGACCAACTGGCTTTGCAGCTGCCTAGCTAAATTATAGTTTATGTTTGTTTCTTTTTCCTAACTTTTTACCCTGAAAAATGTCAAGGCCACAGAAAAGAAGAGCAAGAATAGTACAATGAACACTATATATGCTTTTCCTAGATTCACCAATTACTAATATTCTATATAATCTGTTTTAATTCTCTCACTATATATGCATACATACACAGATTTACCTATCTACATGGTAATTTGAATTATCTGAGAGATGGCTGTAGCCATCATGATACTTCATTCCTGAACACTTCAGTATGCATCACCATGAATCTTCTAAGAACAAGGACATTCTCCAACAAAACGTCAATGCAATCATCACATTCAGAAAATTTAACCTTAACACAAACATATTATTTAATATACCTAATAACATATCTAACATTTAATATTGCCTAATACTATATGTACTTATCTAACATTAAAAAAGATAGTGTCCTTTATAGCTGTTTTTATCTCCAGATCCAGGATACAAAGATCATATGTGTTTTATTTTATTATATGTATCTCTACTCTTCTTTAATATAGATTCTAGAACGATTCCACAACCTTTTTTTTTTTTTTTTTTTTTTTTCTTTCCTAAGACTAACATATTTTAAGAATCCAGGTCAGGTTTAAAAATTAAAAAAAAAAAATTTACTGTCAATTTGTGTATGTCTGGTTGTTTCATCATGATCAGATTTAAGTTAAATATTTTTGGCAAGGACACAACAGATGTGAGATTGTGTCCTTCTCCATTCATCACATCAGGAGGCACATGATGTCAGTCTGTTCCTTTACTGGTGATGTTAAGTTTGACCATTTGCTTAAGGGTGTTAAACTAAAATTTCTAAAGCATACATGTTTATATACTTAAGGGCCACATATACACACCTTTTTTAAAAAACACATTTTTATAAAACACTGGATTTAGCTGAGTTTCATACTCTTACTAAGAGCAATGAACTCTGATGTCTGGTGTTCTATTTTTAAAATATATTTTTTAAAATGCCGGTCTTGACCTAGTTAATCTATTTGGCAAGCTGTCGTTTGAAAAACTCTACTCTTTGTCATAAGTATATAACTTAGTTTAGAAATTCAATCACAGGTGAGAAACGAAACTGTCAAAAAATACTGAGAAATTAAAAAGACCAATTTGTCATGCAAATATGACTGCTAAACAGAGCAAAGCTAGACTTCCAACAGCCGTGGAATGGTCAGTGTTATGAACAAGCAATAGTATTTACTTCCACAAAAGCCTCTGCTAAAAATACAAACACTGAATCTTTCAGGACCAGGCACTACACATTCTATGCTTTCTCACTGAATCTTTACAGTAACCCAATGAAGTTGGTATTATCTACATTTTACATGTAAGGAAACATGCTCAGAAACGTTAAGTGACTTGACCAAAGTCACACTACTAGAAAGGGGCAGAACTGAGATTTGAAAATCTTCTTGACATCAAAGCATATAATCTTACTACTATACCTGGTGCACTAGGGGCACTGTGCATAGTATTTTATACCAAAGGAAGAAAGACGCACCATCTGACAATGTTCGAACAGCAACATCTTGTGTGGAGACTCCAGGACCATGTTTATTGTAGGCCACCACTCGGAAACTATAATCTGTATATTTTTTCAATCCATTAATGGTGTAGGAGTGACTTGAAACATCAACATCCTTGAATAAAATAAAACATTGTATATGTATACAACTCAAGTCAAAAGAAATGCTCCAAATAATTAACTATACGAATTCCATATTCTATATTATACAGTTTTTTATCCCTTTTACTGAATGTTATTTAACAGTGAAAGCAAATTAATCATAAACAGTGACAATTTACTTAGAAATACTGCTTGATGTTTAATGACCCTTACTGGTAAAAACTACAGAATAAACCTTGGTACAAAGAAACAGAATCTGTCAACTTTTCATTCCCTATACATCTCCCCCCCCCCCCCCCCCCCCCCCCCCCCCCCCCCCCCCCCCCCCCCCCCCCCCCCCCCCCCCCCCCCCCCCCCCCCCCCCCCCCCCCCCCCCCCCCC